AAGCTGCTGGTTAACCTGAAGGCATTTTCATCGACCCTTCTATCATTCAGTAGCTGGAAAGTTACTTTTCCCGTTGTCCGCAGTTTGTCAAAATCGGCAAAAGAAGTTTTGCATGGCAAGCAATCTGGATGCTGTTCAGGGCTCTATCCTCTTGCCCCTGTTGTTTAATCTTTTTACAAATCATTGCACTGTCATTGCGCAGTATTTGTCACACAGCGCATCCACCAGATCCCAATATATCAGTATCTACTCTAGGACTGAGCTCCACAGAAAATCCACCATCCCTGCCTCAGTGCACCTCCTTTGCGATTACAGCTCAGTTAGCGCTACTCATCTGCACTCATTGCAAAATAGTACTGCGGTTTATTTGCTCTTTGCAACTATTAACTGTGATAATCGTGGACTTTTGCATATGGTGAAAAATGGAGTTCCTTTTTGATTCCATTCAAGCAATAAACTTTCAGATTTTCAGCTGTTCAGGTAAACGGCATGCTGATTAGAGAATCCAAAGTCTTAGTAGAAAAGTACGATTTTACTTTAAAAATCATGACGGGCTCTCCAAATCCGCTTATACTGTCGGAAATCAACCGTTTCAAGATTAAACTATTTTCATGTGACTCAGGGTGACTAGCAGCCCCGTAAGATGGAGAGGTCAAAGTGACTAAGCCAGCTAATAATTTCTGAATTGATATCCAGGATATAACTCACCCTGCTTCAGAATTTCCAGAGCGAGCATTCAGCATTAATATGCTGCGCTTTCTGATCCATGTTATGGGAGGTGTTACTGGGTTTCATCTTCCGGCAGTGAAGTAAAAATGCTCATAGCGGGTTTTTTCATCCAGATCCTGATTCAGAATAGTCGATCCATGTCAAACTAGCCCGATTGAAAGTTCACTACAGGTAATTTAATTGCTTGAATGAGTATACTACTGGCCTGTATCGCCATGGCATGGAGCCCTATGCTAAGGTATTTGCCTGTTACTGCCGAGGACGTGGACACAAGGTTTGATTTACATAATACACTGCGTTATAAGTTAAGTTTTAAGAAATAGTTGTTACCAAAATTGTGTTTTGATGTTTGTTGAATTTTACAGAAAAGCCTTCGGCGGCTTTATTTTTCATTTAAAATTTCACGTTTTTCAGACAGAGGTATTGGATGAGAGTGACAGGTTTGTCAGTGCCGTTGATTACTATTTTATCGAAGATGACGGGTCTCGGTTTAAGGTAAATCAGGCAATCATGTTGTTTGTTATGTACATATTACTTTCACTTCTACAGGTGTCCTATCCGTTCAAACCGTACTTCTATATTGCCGTTAAACCAAAAACCGAACAAGAAGTCATGGCATTTCTGTCCAAACGGTACGCCGGTGTCGTGTTCAACGTCGAAACGGTGCTGAAAGAAGACCTTGAAGTGGTGCGTTTTGAGTTTTTTGTAGTCTGCTTTTGACTCCGCTTGAAATCTGGAATTGTTTTCTCTCTTATTCAGAAGCCATATCTAATAATTAATAGTGTCATCTCTTCATATGCAGGATCATAGAATATATCAGACATACACGATGCTGGTTCCGTTACACATAGCCGAGTCCCGAAGCTTCTACATTTGT